GCTGCGGGGAGGGGAGCCCCGTAACCTGCCGGTAAAAGCCCGGATGTCTTCTTGAAAAAGTCCAAATTATTGTCTGAGACACGGTGATGGCTTGAAAGGTGGCTCCCTTCTTCTTGTACAGCACCCCCAGCCCATTATGCAGTTACGTTTAGCTTTGCAGATTTGTGTGTGCTTTTTTTTTTTCCCTTTCTTTTTCTGTCTCGTATCCTTGCTGCTTTATTCGGGTGGTTTTTAGTTTTTTAGACATACTGGTTGTATGAAAAGGCTAAACGGTTTTAATCTGTCTGTTCTCCCGCCGTGAATGAAAATGCAGTTTTTGCTGCTCCTCAGCCTTGGAGAGCAACTAATTTTTCAGGTGACAGATCTCATTGTTTCCCCCCCGCCCTGCCTGGGTCATCGTGTTTTGCTTTGGCAGCGGAACTCTTGAACTCCCCGGTGGGGCATCCTCGGCGACTCGCTGAGCAAAAGCTTTGAGATGGCTTGGGAAACCCTACCTGCTGGTTCCCTTACTTGGGATGGTTTCCTAGGAGCGAGAATGCACGCAAGGATATTTTCGAAATGGGCTCGTGAGTAGGAATGGGATTGCTTGGTAACTACAAATTAAATTCCTCTTCCTCAAGTCAAGATGACTTCAGCAATGCTTCTGGTAGGCATGATTTTGAAAGCTGTGTTTGAAGTGTGCTGCAGTCGGCTCTGCTCACTTACAGCTCTTCAGAAGCGCTGTTCGTGTCATCTGGAAATTTTCATCTTGCGTGTAGAGGACCAAAATAAAAAAACTCAAAACCTGTCAGGTAAAAAAAAAAACCCACAGCCCAAACAAAACTGTATTTTTTTTTTTGGAAATGTACTCAGCTACTGCTGTTAGAAGTAACTGAGTAATAGAGAGATGCGAAGGTGTGCATGGGGAGGTGTCTGTATTTTTAACCTTGCTTGCTTTGTGTGACAATTTTTTTGGTTTCCTCTCCCTGCCGGCAGTTAGGCCTTAAAAACAGGAGAGATTTTCAGACAGCAAAGAGTGGGGGAAGAACACCTACAGCCACAAAAACTCAGAGTTCAAATGCACTCATCATGCCCACATCAGATCTTTTAAACTTTGCATTGACTGTGTCGTCTGCCTCCCTCTTCTGTCTGTCAGTCTGTCTATTTCTGCAAAATAGAAAGGATTTATAATTTTTTTTAGGGGAATCCATTTTACTTGCTCTGTGGAACATTAATCTCATTTTAGGGACTTTTCAATGAAGTTCAGTAGTGAATGCACGCGTTGAAACTGAAAACTTATGTAAATCACTAGCGTAGGGAAAATCAGTGTTTGGTTATTATTCTCTAGGTCTTGTATAACTGTATGTTAAATGCACCAGCATTATTTTGTGGCTTTTGGGAAGCCTGAATACCTGTGGGGTTTAAAGCCGCCTGAGTGACGGTGCTCTGCACCCTCGTCCTTGGTCAACACCGCCACGAGATGAGTGGTGGCACTTCAGACAGGGACAGAGGAGAGATGGCTTCGTTTTGTGGAACTGGCTGCAGTATGTACTCTACGGTGTGAGATATTTATCTATTTTTTTTTCCTGTTTTTCGCTGTGTTTGCATCAGAAAGCTTGCCTCTCTCTTTTCAGTCGTAACAGGAAAATAAGCCAGTAAAGACGTTAGTTATGCATATTTTCATGTACCACAGTAACTGCAGTTTCTGTTGTTAGTCATTGTCGTTAGTCTTTGGTATAAGCTGATACAGAAATGTTTCCAAGTTTTTTTTTCCTGCTTTTCCAGGATAAACCTGGTAATGAACAAAGGATGTTTTCACCATTTTCTTAATGCTGTCATTGTTCTGACGTCAGCACCTTGCTAATTATGTTTCCTGACTGTGCTCAATCAGTGTTTTTCTCATGTATTTTGTTTGTAAACAGATGGAGACTAAACTATTGTGCATGATTAAATCAGCTTCCTTTTATACCGTTTAATTTGTAGCATAATAGCTGCACATCCTAGCTGTTTAAGAGGAGTAATTTGTGTGTGTTGAAATGTTTCATACTAATTTCAATTGCTCTCTTTCGATAGATATTGATTAAATTCAGTCGCCTTGTACCCCAATGTAATTAGTTTAGACTTACAAAAGTCGGCATTTCTGGTGTTTCATTCCAGTTCTCTTAAAATACTGCGCATCTTTGTGGAGCTGTTCTGTGTTTTCCATGTCTTGCAGTGAAACTGCGGGTTGTGGATGATGGTGGTGCCTGGGAATGCCCCGCTCATACAGCAGGATCATGCTCTGGAGCCTGACTTAGGACGAGACTCAACGGAGAACTCTGCCATGGGCCCCGACACGGAGCCGACCTCCGAGGAGGTTGGCCCGGAGCTGGCGGAGGTGCGAAAGCTGCGGGAGCTGGTGAGGAGGCTGGAGATCGGGAATCAGCACCCCAGAACGAAGAGTAGCAGGAGCATGCTTGGGACGAACGTGCAGAGTGAGATCCGTGCTGGTGTGGATAACCACGGCTCTGGTCTTAATGGAATGGAAATTAATAATAGCATCAATGCGATCACTGAGAAGCAGGAATTGCAAATCATGGCAGATCTGCACAACCAGTTAAGCAAAATGAGGAAAGAGGAAGGGGAGAACAACTGCTTAAAAAAAGACATAGATGCCCAAATGCTATATAGTTGCAACAGTGCCACGGAGGAATTGTCTTCCAGCATGCGTAAGGCGGGAATGAAGAGCGATGATAACATGAGATGTCCTTCACGTATGGATACAAGTGACAGCACAGAGCTTATGGGAAACTTGGTCATTGCGAGTATCGATTCCTCGGTTAAAACAAATGAACACGATCCCAATGAAAAGTGTGGAGATGTAGAAAGTCTTTCGAATAATGCAGATCTGGATGAAGTGAAAGTGTTAGAACTTGAAAACTGCAATGAAGAGGAAGATAGCTGGTATGTATTTCAAAACTTCAGTAATATATGGGACTTCTGCTGCTGCGGTTAGGTGTGCCGTTTTTAAGGGTATAAAGTGATTTCTATACAGTGCTTTGATTTTTAGCAGCAAGAATGCAGTTCTCATTATCGGCTGTTCTTACTTTTTAAGATCATTGTGCCAGAGCATGATTATTGAAAAAAAAAAAAAAGAAAAAATCAGTTTAACTGTAAGACCTGTCTTTCCCCCTTTCTTCCTGATGCTGCTGTAGCAAGCACAGAAACCTTCCTTTCCCTGTTACTTTATTTATTTGTAATGCATGCAGATAGATGAATAACGGACTTTTTAAACTTTGTGCATAACTGTCGCATACCGTGTTTAAATAAGAGTTTTGTAAAACACAAACTCAGACCTTAGACTGTCTGGAATTTGTGGCTTTTGCTAGTGTCTGAGACGACAAATCATTTCCAGTTCCTGAGTACTGTTTCTTGCAGTTAACCTGTTTCTTTTGTTTAGAGACATGAACCGAAACAGATCAGTGATGTAATCCTGAACTGACCTTACTTTGTAGGACTCCCCGCTTCACCAGCAGCCTTGCTTAGAACTTGTTTTATAAATCAGCAGATTAATTTCCCTTGCCCTTCCACAGCCAGTTAAAGTTTGAGGCTAATTCCAGCTCGTGCAATAGTTATGACTGGAGATTTTACCTGGAGCTCTTAATTTTAAGACGTGGTAGGATAGCCTCAGGGATCTGCAAATTGTGTTTCAAAATTGTGTAGAGATTAATCTGGCAGCAAAGACAGCATTGCAGAATGGTTGCTGAATACAAAACAAATCTTAAACTGTAAAGATTCATTAGCCGTTATAAGTGAAGGTAAACTTGTGTGTGTTAATGGAATGGAGCTCAGTAACGTAATGGTGTCAGCTCAAGTCTAAATTCAAGGCTATATTAAAAACATGATTGCTTTTTTTCTTTGCAAGCGTTCTTTTCAAACCCAAATACTGGTTCTAACTTGATCACTGAAACTCTCTAGCATACCTAAACAGCATTTGGAGCAGATTTCTTTTCAAAAAAAAATAAAATATACTTAACAAGTTGAATTTGGAAGACAGGCTTCATTATTACCACGTTAATGAAAACAGCTAGTTTTAGATTCATGTTTATATAGCCTGTGACATGAGAGATCCTTCAACTATATTGACTTGGTAAAGAAACCAGACGGAGACTGAGATTTACACAGGCTGTGGATACCGTCCAGTGCAGTTGGGAGCGATTCTGCACCCAGCGGCTCAGTTTATTAACCTTTCCTTGAGTTGGTCGCTAATAAGGTCGTTCTTCGTTACCAGGTACTCTTCTCACTACACCTTGTAGGATCTTCATGGTTCTGATGCCTCTGTTTTCTTATCAGATTTGGTTGATATAGGCTCACATATTAAAAAGAGGCGCCCCAAGGAGCTTAAATAACAGTGGTGTTGTGGAGCACTTGTGCAAGTACAATTATCATAAATTACCTTTGGTCACGTTGCATTGCTTCCCTCTGTTTCGTTTTCCTCTTGTCAAACAAACCAAGTAAAACAAGAAGCCGTTTTTGTGACGGGTTCTTTTTCTAAAGCTCTGCAGCTAAACTGGAGGTGGGGAGGGAGCGATGTAGGTACAGGCAGTAGTGCATGGCTGTGCTTATTGCCACGTATCCTGAATTCTCTTCGTAAACACATCTCGCGTGCTGTCTGTGTAGATATTCGTGCATTCCGGTCAGACTGTGGTTGGGGGAGAGGGGAGGGCTTTTGAAAAAACCCAAACCAACCAAAAAACCCAACAGAAAAACCTTAATGCTATATGGATTTAGGATCAACTTTAATAAGGTGGCTTTGCGGATTGGGGGCAATTTTGTACTGCTTGGATAGAAGTAACATCTAAATGTGTCAAACAGTGTACTAGTCAAAGCAAATAGCTTACTATATTTTTATATTTGCAATCCTTTTTTAAAAATATTATCCATGAGGAAAAAACCTGTAGCTAATATTGCAACACATCAACTGTACTCTGATACTTTATGATTTTTGGTAATTTCTGACGAATGCACAGTGGCTTTGTGCTTTCCTGTCACTGCTGAATTGATAAATTTTAACAGCTCAGTCCTTTTGGTTTGCTGACCTTTTACTTGATATCGTCTAGTAGAGGGGATGATGCTTTATAGCTTAAAGAACACTAAGAACTCATTTAAGGTACGAAAGTGTTTAAAACAGGGGGTGGGGAGTGGGAAGCTTTCAAGGAGAGAAGCTTTAGTTCTTGTATCTTTGTGTCATTCTGGTTTTAAGAACAGGTCCCAGCTTTAGGGTAATTTCTGTTGCGGTGGTGTGCTTATTCCCTGTGACTTCTCCGTAGGTTTGAAACCTCAAGTTCAGCCTACCATGGGGGTTTTTGCCACTTGAGCTGAAGTGGAAATGGTAAAAACCCCATTGCCCTGGGAGAGCGGAGGTGGAAGGACGGAGGAGCGGGTCAGAGGATTTGTTACTGTTCTCTGCAGGTGCCGAGAGAGTCTCTGTTTCTGCACTATTTTGAAATCATTGTTTTTATTTGGATCAAACTTGCAAACGTTTCTGTGCAGCTTCCCTTGGCTTCAGCGAGATTCCTGCGGTCTAAGGTTTTGTTTTTAAACCCAGCATTGCCGTTGCCGAACTCCCGTGAAACATGAGGTACCGCGTCGGATGCCGTAGCTGTAACTCTGTACCCCTTCGGTGTCTGTCCCTTGACTTGCCGCCTTGGGTCCCTTTCTCAAATAGCTATTCAAAATTGTAAATGCCCTTCAGACCCACATAAGTGAAAGTCGCCCTTCTGTGCTGCGGAGCTCAGCGTGATGCTTAGCCCAGGCTTGGGTGCTCTTTGCCCATCGCTGGTTGCCAGGTCTCTCCCTCGCTCCGGCGCAGGTCAGCTCCCGAGCTGTTTGTGGGGATGCTGTGACCCCTGCAGAAGGGAACAGACGAGGTTCGCCTGCCATGGCCCTGCCTTCTGGGTCTTCCTCAGGGTCTGTCATTCTTAGGTGCTCCCGGGATATAAGAACGAAGTTGTGGGTTTCTGTGCGTTTCGTTTATTGCTCTTCCTGCAGTGATTTGTGTGCAGCATTCTTGTTTGGTGTTTTCCCAGTTGTTTTTCCTAGTAAGGCTTGGGAGAGAGAATTTTGACTTGGAATTATGATTAAACGATTAAAATTCCAACCCCCTCTGAACTATAAAGTGTTCTTACCAATGTGTCGTTGGATGAAAGAGAGAGAGAAAGAAATGGCAGAAGTGGAAAGCCTTAGATTTTTTTCAATACTCTGCTTTTTGCTGAATTAGGCTCTTATTGCCTCTGTCTCTTCTGACGGGACAAGTACCAAACTCCCTGCTCGTGCCTCACCTTGAACAACTTTAGGTTTTCTCCTCGATGGAAGGAGAGAGGCCCTTGTACGTGTCTCCCCGGTATTCCCGCTGCCGTTGCTTAAGATCCTGATCCCAGTGGCAAAACTGCTTGTGGTTTAACACAAGGCTTCAGATAAGCTTTTATGAATATTCTTCTGCCTTTTTTAAAAAAAACAAAACCAAACCCCAAACAATGATACACACTATAGCAATCGAGCAAATGCATGTCACAGAACCTTTTCTTTACGTTTATTTTAAATTGCTGAGTTCCTTTTAGAAGAATATGTAAAATATGATGGATGCGTACGTGAATGTACAGGTCTGCTCAGCCTAACGCGGTCCTGTTCTTTTGTGGGGCGAGGAAGAGAAGGACGCCATGTCACTCGGGTGGATCCCTGTGTTGCTGCTACATCCACACCTTGCACAGTTTAGCCTGTCTTTCAATGGGAACAGGTTGTGCTGCCTTCACCTTGGATTCAAGCAGGAGACACCACACCACCAACAGTTCAGAACAGCAGGTAGGGTGCCGTTGAAGTAGTCTTTGTATGAAGAAGGAGCATGGTTTGCTCAAATAAATTACTATTTAGGACTTTTGTAGGAGTGTATGTTTTCAGCCTTAGCCCCATGTCCGGTGGCCTTGTATATTAGTGTCTTAAGGCATTTAATTTGACATACTGCAGGATATAATGGTTAGCTTGTTGTACCATCAGAGATAGAAAAAAATTTTCTGGAGATGTTCCACCAAACGAGGATGTGGTTCTGCACAAAATTATGATATTATACCAGCGTAGCATCGTGAAAAATACAGCATCTTGTGCCTCTAATTTGGGGGAGAACCTTAACTCCCTGCTCTGTATGTAGGGTAATTTCTATTGTGGTGGTGTGCTTATGCCCCGTGACTTCTCCGTAGTGACTACTCCATGTAGTAGTTTGCCTGCGATCTTTCCTTGCCAACAAGACTCTGCGTGACTTGGAAACGGTAATTTTCGAGGTCTTAGTTTCTCAGACCGGTCATCTTATGAAAACCTTCTAGAGGTATTTTTAAGAACGGGTCAGTTAGCTCTGTTGTGTTAAATGATGTACAGATGACTTATCCAGAAGGTTTCTCAGTTGCCTAGGTTGTTCGACCGGCGTGTTATCTGTTGGTGCGAGCTGCGGTTGGCCGTGACAGTGGTCGGTGTAATCTCTGGGTAGACGAGCTCCTTCCAAACCCTTCGGTGCCGCTGGAAGATAGCATTACCCTCGCCGTCTTCACTGCCAGTAATTGCCCGTGCCGGCGTAGAGTAGTCCAAAAGGAAAAATGTACTGCTTGTCCGACACTTGTGTGCAAAATACGACCTTTCAGGTTAAATGGCTTTTGATGGCGGAGGCTTAAAATGACTGAATTCTTACCGAGCTGCTTGGGGTGTTGGCTCCCGGCTCGCCCTGTGAAATGGGGTGCGGGCACGGTAATCCGGCTGCTCCTTGTCTCGCCGCTCGCATCCTCGTGCGGCGTTGCTTTAACGCAACCGAAGTTGTCCCACAAGGTGCCTTTTGATTGTTCTACAGGCTGTTGGCTGTGTCATGAGATTAAGTTAATGCGATGTTTAGAGCT